GGGCTTTTTTTTGTGGATTACATGTAGTATTTTGTTCGTGTTTTGTGAGATTGGTGTATGTGAGGGAGTAGTGTTCCGAAGCACTAGAGCAGCTATCTGGTAAATGGCTAGCTATCTCGAATGGGATGAGGGGGTATTTATGTGAACAGTGAAACTCAATTGGTGGGCGGATTGGTCCCTTTATACACGGAATTTTGCAAAATATATTCCCACACGTCCAGGGGTGAGTAGTCCTCCAAGACCAAATATTAAGGGTACCAGCAATGGAGATAAAGGGCCTGTTTCTCCCTTTTACCCTCCGCAACCTAGGTTTATACTTCGAGAACGGCAGCATGAGCATCAAATTACTTGACTTACAAATCAACAATCTATATAAATATGTCGTGCTCTCCAAATGGCCACCCGTGGATTGCCAGGGAAACTCGATGACATCAGAAAGTGTGCTGCTCATCCCACATATCCCGCTCTGCAGCAGTATTGCCTCAGCCTATGAGGTTCCGGGGGGATCATGTCTGGAGTGAAAAACAGATCTTCAAAACATGAGAATGTTATGATCCCCCAGAATGATGGTTAGGCTGCCACTAAAATACTAGGCCGGCCCTAATGAAAACACAGGGATATACCAATATTTAGACTGAATAGTGAGGGGTTGAAACTCAAATAGACAAGATGAATGCTGTGTAAAACTGTGTAAAGCTGCCAGCATCCAGGCATTTTGCAGATACGGTTTTATCTCTGAGGACCATTTTGGCCTAGTTTGACGTGCTTGGGGGCTATCGTTCTGGACGTCAGGTGCCATTGGTTCATTTTGGGCTATGTTTTGAACTGTAGATGGCATAGTGAAAACTACATTTTACGAGGGGAAAAGGGAAGATTGAGTGGGGGAAACAAAGTGGGAGGAGGGCTGGCTTTATATGCCTTCAGTCCTACACTGCCGCTCCCCCAAAGACAAATTGGGAGCAACCGCAAATAGACTGCACCATTTTATGAGATTTGTTGGCTAATGAGATAGGGACTGGTTCAGGAAGGCAAACTCATTGAGAAACAGCTTGATTATCCAGGCTGTTAGTCAGCTTCTCTCTGTTGCATGTATAACACTTTGCATGTGCAGTTTTGACACCAGCGCCTCTGAATGCTGGGTTTGATCAATGGAGGAATTCCAGATGTGATCCAGCTGCAGTTGTAGCCACAAATTTGTTACTGCCCTGATACTCACTGCAGAGACTATATGGGGTATGTGACAAGGCATTTATGCAATCGTCAAAGAGTTGCCTAAATAGATAGGCGAACCATTTGCGAACGCTGGGAAGCACCAGTTGCAATGGGCCTTCCAGCTGGTATAGTAGGTCAATTGTAAGGCACCGGTGCCAAATTGCGCATGCGTGGAGGACGCATGCGATCTAAATGACCTCATGCAGCTACAGGAGCGACTTCTCCAGTGGGAATCAATGGCTTGCAATGAGAGCCCATCCCGATTTCAGTGGTGGATTTTTCATCTCTGCACGACTTTCCTTGGACGATGTCCAAGCAACCCAAGTAGAAAATCAAAC